CTCAATGTTGTTGGCACATTTTGGGAGGACGCTGCTAATAAAGTTACACAATTACAGAGTGAATTCATGTTTATTATTATATTTACAAAATAAAGTTTTGTCTTGGTTGTATCATTTTATTTTGTTGTATTTATCCGCGACACCTTAAAGGCCAGTCCCTGAAAATATTGTCTGACGTTAAACCGGTCCATGGTGCAAAAAAGGTTGGGGACTGCTGGTGTAGAGGACATCACAGTAATGCAACCGGACCCTCTGTTCCTCTGCTGATGTGTTACCTCTCACCAATCAGTCTTTGTCATCCATTTGTATTAGCAGGGATGCACACATTAAAATTTGGACATTCAATTTTGCATAATTCACCATCGAGACAGTGAGAGAATTGTCAGTTTCCTTCAAAGATGATTAGCATTGAGTGACAGTCATGCTTCCAGCCACGTGCTATTCTCCCTCCTGCTTCTACACTCATTGAATAAATTCCCCCCGCTGCCTGCTCATAGAAAATCTCTAACCACAAAAAAGAAAGTTTGGAGTTTGAAAACAGTGGCTGGCTGGGGAAGTTTTCTGAATGGTATCTTGGATTTTCTCTCACAGTCCGAAGACATGGGCTTGTTGTTCATGAAATTGGAATGAGTAATGACTAACCCAATCCTATAGCTATACCTCCAAACCCTAAACAAAAAGAGAGAGAAGCAAAAGGGAATATAGTGATAATGTGAATATTGCTTCATGCAAATCAGTTAGATTAATTATTTTTTTCCCCACTGATCCTGAAGACTTTTTTGTTTTGTTTTGTTTTGTTTTTAACTCTCTGAGGTCTAAGTCATCAGTGGTGATGACCTAAACCCTAGGTCCAAACTCTAAACTGATGTTTTTGAGAAAGCAAATGGAAAAATTCTAGAATAGACAGAATTTATTGAGGGAATGGAGGCATAATATGGTTTGACATGGTGACGAGTCGTAGTTACAGAGGACTCACAATTAAAGAACCATTAAAAACCATTAAAATACAGTTTTCCCCCCTTATTGTAGTTTTACCTTCAGAAACAAACCAAAAGAAGCAACAGGACACATGCATGCAAAAAAACAGATTTGAAATGTAGCATCTTCTACTTTGTAAATAAGTCTTGCTGGCATGTGGCTATAACAAAAAGCAACTTTAACTCTAAAGGCCTTTACCCACTGAGCACACTGCAGAAAAAATGACATGAAATTTTGAATTTTTCAAATGAAAACTTGTCGTGTAAAGTATATACACATCAGAAGTATTTTGCGAAAATATATTCTCAAAACATAAAGTACGAAAAAAAAGGAGCTGTAGCTGCTTTTAGATATTTCATAATGTCAGTTGGGCAGTTTGAGCTCTTGTTGGCAGAGTTGGGACCACATCTGAAGAGGCAGAGAAAGGATTGACCCTGAGCAGCGTTTAGTGGTGTGTCTGAGGTAAAAACAGGATTATTTTATTGTTTCCATATCTTTGTATATTCAGTAAAGTATTGAGCTATGAGTGCACTTGTTGCCAAATGAAGGGTGTCTGATTGGTCAGATTTGTTTATTTGCTTGCAAAATCAGGAAAATTGAGAAAATAAATGCTGCAAATTTGTAACGTGAAATTATGGTGTCTGTGTAAACGGCTGAAGAAAACGTGAGTCAGAAAAATACTTTTTTTCAAAGGCCTCAACCCATTACAAGTCTCTACTAAGCCAGTAGCTGCTAGGAGTTTTACGAGTTCCTCAATAAATCCTGATCAATTTCCGTTGTGTTAAAAAAGCAGGTCTTCGGAGGTATTCATCAATGCAACTGTTTTGTCACCTCTGAGATAAAGTCAGTGTAGAAAAAGAGTAGATAAAAGGCTTGCATTCGACCCAGATGTTCAAAGTCAAATGTCATGAGTTTGACATCATAGTGCTGTGCAACTGTTATCAGAACATTCATGAGAAGAATTGATACTCTTGGAGACGTACGATTTCAATGGACTGGACAGTTTTCAGGTGAAACCATTACATCCCTGTTCACGCCACATGAAGCGTCTGACTTGGTTTGACATGGCTGTGAACACCCATTACCTCAGCGAGCATGTCACTGTTTTTGATCTTTCCATGCACTCTGCTACATCATTTCTACCTTCTAATTGGGATTCTTCTCACAGCGGCACAAGCTTTCAAAGACAAAGGCATTTTCACAGAGACAGGTGTGAAGCCTCCCAAGTGTTTGTCAGTGATAAAATGAATTATACTCTTACTAGAAAGCAGCCTTGATCATAACACTGCCAAACTTACTGTCTTAATGCTTCTTAAATCTGATCTGTTTGAAGAGTCTTACCAGTGTGCACTACATCAGAACACCACGTGCTTTTTAGACTGTTATTTTAAGCAGACAGCTGCTGGTGTTTGACCATGTTGGTTTAGCATCAGACAAAATATGGGACTGAAACCAAGATTTTTGGTGTTGATGCTATTGTTGTTTACTTGTAAACTGTAGATGGATTTTGTCTTGTTGTGCTGATTTGGAAATAAAGGTTTAATCATATTTGTCTAATGTACATTGGAATTGACATTGGATTGAACAGATGATTCTAGATCTACACAGTGTTAAAAGGAAGGTCTGGGGCACCAGTTCAGCTCAGTGCATTGAGCATGGGACCACATGCCATGTGGCCGAGAGTGGCCGACCTGGGTTCGTAGTCCGACCCGCGGCCCTTTTCTGCATGTCTGCCCCTGCTTTCCTATCCTCTCTTCATTGTATCTGTCAAATAAAGCTGAAGATATGGATCCCTGATTTTAAATAAGAGTAAATTTACTGTTAGGTACTTACACTGTGTTCTACATATTCTCTCTCTCTCTTACTCATATGACAGTTTTGTTCTCTGCTTTTTTTTCTGATGAAATAAAATGATCCACCAGCAAAGATTATTCAAAACAAAAATGCAAATTTGTGCAGTCATGAAAATATCTTGGTTAGAAATGTTCTCTTTCGATGTTAGTACTGCTACTAACCAGGGATGCTTTACCAGATGGGCTCATTATTTTTATCCACTTCCACCTGCCAGCAATCAGTCACCGTAATGAATCCCAGAGCTTTTCCAATCATGTCTAGAAAATGACACAGTACTTAACATCCTATTTGGTAACTGGTGAGGGGTAACGCATGTGGACTCCCTCAGTTTAATGCTGCAAAAACCAAGGGAGTAAATTTGCACTCTCTCTCTCCACCTCTAAACCAGCTGACACTAACTAATTGACTTGCTGTACGGCTTAATAATACTAAAAGCAGGAAGAGCCATCTAGCCAACTCATTACATAGGACTAATCCTTTATAGTTAATTAACTTTTATTTTTCCAGTGTGTCAAACAAGGGAAAATGTATAATGCTGTCAAGGGTGGCAATCTTTTTTACTTCTATATCCACCTGCTACATGTGAGAGGGACATTTTAATGCCAATGTTGGCACAGAAATGTACAAATAGGCTAAATGCAGTATGCTGAGATATTTTCATGCTGGAAAAACACTAAGTTGATTCTCGTGTTCAGAAATTCATAACACATTTGCTTGTAGCATTCCAGCTCCAGCATCTTACAAATAAATGAACAGCGTGCGTGGGTGGGCGGGTGTTCCAGCGTGGGAGGTTTTGCACTGTGGCTTTTCTCATGCCTTTGAAGGTTGTGCATTCATGGCCGTATTTTTGACTGGTGAAAATCCCACAGATTTGACTCACATGAATGGGCCTGCTGCAGACATATGTGGATGCTGTTTAGTGATGCGTGGTAAAGAGGATGGTATAAAACTCTATCTCATAAATGAAGAGAGATGGAAGAGCCATTACCATGTTCAGATTTGAATTTGAACTTTTATTCTGGTTTGTCATGGTGAGACTTCTCAGCAGTTTGGCTCACTAATAAAAAATAAGAGTGTACTAATAATCATGGTCTCTCTCTTTCACGAGGGCGGCGTGGACACCCAAGTTTGTGTATGTAATCCTTCGTCATTTCAGAATGAGGTGATGTAGAATTTTGAAATTGATACAATAGTACTACGAAAAATATTGAGTTTGAGGTTTTCGAAAAAGCGGGCAACACAGAGTTTTCAAATTGATACCATAGGTGCATCTATTCGAAGGATGGCGCCTGTACATTATTTTAATACTGAGTTTAGGGATTATTGTTAATTGCTCTTATTTGGCTTTTTTAAACTCTGACATGTTTAAGGAAGAAATACAGAAAAATGATGACAACTGCAGATGTCTATCCAATGCATGTGTATATAACCAAGTTCCAAGTCCCTCATTGCATATTTAAAGATTTTAAAGATTTAAAGTCCTTCCATCCTAGACCCCCGGTTTAGTGTCTGAAAATGTTTAAATAAAAGCTTTGTGAATATTCTGTCAAGTCATTACATCCAAAGCAGATGCTTCCATATATAGCTTTTGTGTGTGCAAAAATTAACAATGATTGCGATAACTGTCTTTTGTTGTTTATCTTTTTATCAATGAAGTTGGATTTTGCATTGGTGGTTGTTGGGAAAAAACACATACGTGAACATTCAACAAGTCCCATGCTAGAAGTACCAGTACATTGTGAGAATTTTCAAGGTCACTTTGATTGGATTCTTCTTTGGTTCTTTGGTTCACATCAAACAGAACTTGAATGAAAAATATTAATGAATACTTTCAAAAGCTCTTAATCTGTCACAAATCTTACTTGCTGTCAAGGTTTCATAGAAACACAGATAAATAAATAAACTGATGTAATCATTTCTGTGTATGTATTATTTCTGCAATATTTTTAGTTCTTCAAGTTAATTTTTATTAACTTGTGTTGCGGATTTGTTGTTTTTCAATTCAGTCTAATCACAGAAATTACACCATTAACCACATTGCTTAGAGGTAAAAAAAAAACAAAAAACGGTACTTTTAAAATCTTTATATAATGCAAGTAGAGTAGTCGTATCCTGCTTTGGTAGCATGTACATATTAGAATTTACACATTTCTCTTTCTTGCTTCTAGGTCATGGAACCAAAGGGGTGTTTGAGCTCCTGGCGGGCTGGAGGAGAACCAGGGAAAACCTCCCCTTCAAGGAGCGAGTTGCAGACGCGTTTGCCGATGTGATGGTGTGCTACACTATGACCAGTTCACTCTACATCATAACGTTTGGCATGGGAGCTAGCCCTTTTACTAACATCGAGTCAGTGAAAATCTTCTGCCAGAGCATGTGTGTGGCCATCCTGGTCAACTACTTCTATGTTTTCTCTTTCTATGGCTCCTGTCTGGTGTTTGCTGGACAGCTTGAGCAGAACCGCTACCACAGTGTTTTCTGCTGTAAAATCCCCTCAGTGGAGTACCTGGACCGCCAGCCCACATGGTTTAAAACCATGATGAGTGATGGCCACGACCTGTCCACACACCATGACAGTGTACCATACCAGAATCACTTCATCCAACACTTTCTGCGAGAGCACTACACAGAATGGATTACCAACACCTATGTCAAACCATTTGTGGTCATTCTCTATCTTATTTATGCTTCTTTCTCATTCATGGGATGTTTACAAATCAGTGATGGATCAAATATTGTGAACCTGTTGGCGAGTAACTCTCCAAGTGTTTCGTACGCTCTAACTCAGCAGAAGTACTTTAGTAACTACAGTCCAGTGATTGGATTTTATATTTATGAACCCATTGAGTACTGGAACTCCACAGTGCAGGAGCACTTGAAGACTTTGAGTCACGGTTTCAACAAGATCTCCTGGATGGACAACTTTTTCCACTACTTGCGGGTAGTGAATGTGAGTGCGTCGACTAAGAACGACTTCATCACCATCCTTAAAGGTTCCTTCTTGCGTAGCCCAGAGTACCAGCACTTCACAGAGGACATCATATTTTCCAAGAACAGCGAGACTGACGAATATGACATCATTGCTTCAAGGATGTACTTGGTAGCGCGAACCACTGAGAAGAAACGTGAGGAGGTGGTGGAGCTTTTGGAAAAGCTTCGGCCCTTGATGCTGATCAACAGCATCAAATTCATTGCCTTCAATCCAACGTTTGTGTTCATGGATCGGTATAGCTCCTCTGTCATCTCCCCCATTCTGACCTCAGGCTTCAGCGTACTCACCATCCTCATCCTCACTTTCTTCCTGGTCATCAACCCATTGGGAAATTTTTGGCTCATCCTCACAGTTACATCCGTGGAGCTGGGTGTCTTGGGTTTGATGACTCTCTGGAATGTCGGCATGGACAGCATCTCAATCCTGTGCCTTATTTATACCCTCAACTTCGCCATGGATCACTGTGCACCACACCTGTACACTTTTGTGCTGGCCACCGAGCACACTAGGACGCAGTGCATCAAGTTGGCACTGGAGGAGCACGGGGCTGCCATCCTGCAGAACACATCTTGCTTTGTGATTGGGATCATGCCCCTGGTGTTTGTGCCTTCCAATCTGACCTACACACTGTTCAAGTGCTCCCTCCTCACCGCGGGCTGCACTGTGCTGCACTGCTTTGTCATTTTGCCTGTCTTCCTGACCTTCTTCCCGCCGTCCAAAAAGAGGCACAAGAAAAAGAAACGGGCCAAGCGGAAAGAGCGGGAGAGGGAGAGGGAGAGGGAGCGGGAAAGAGAAAGGGAAAGGGAAAGGGAGGAGATAGAGTGCATTGAAGTCAGGGAGAATCCGGATCATGTGACAAACGTCTGAACAGTTTGTAAGGATAGCAGTCAATAGTAGTGCTGGATGCTGAGGTACCTCTTGAGGTGCAGGGGAATATGACATTTCCCCTGAGGAGTGAGAGGTCATCACTCCTAGCCAATAGCAGCTAAGCTGGCCAGAATCGAGTGCAGCCCTACTGGTCAGTCGTGTAGTCCTTCAGTCTGGACAGTGTATCTCATTTGCGCAAACTGCAACATGGTCATGGTTCTAAGGCTCTTTTCCAACTCTTTGGTCTATAGAAACAAGTTAGTTAGCAGAACACATGCTTGCTCAATCTGTAAGTAAATCTTGAACACACAGTATGTTATTCCATTTAAATATTAGTAATTATGTGTTTGTCTCCTGCAGCCCTCTTCTCAAAATGAGTGAGGATCATAGCAGTCTATTAAGCCAAGGACATTCAAACAAGTTGGCAAAAGCAGCAAGAGCGATAAAGAGTGTACAAATTAAAACTGTGCAAACAATGACTGTGCACGCACATTACTCCTCACACCTTGATAAAGGTGAAAAGAAACAAAGCCAAATTGTGTGGAAAGAGAGAAACAGTGGGCTGAAAGCACACTGCATGCTTTTCTGTATCATTATAAATAACCGAACAGCTGAACTGGGCAGATGGCATACACTGTGTCCATTATGAAGAATTATCTTGCACATTGCAGTGTGTGATTAGAACTGTCAAGGTTTATATAAGCGGGAAGCAAATATTTCTGCTTTAATTCAGAGGTTGTATCAGGTCTTAGGCAACAGCAGAAGGAACTGCAGTGGGCTGCAGCATATGAAGAGGAAGTGATAAGTGACAGTCGTGCAGGAGTCTTTGAGAAGGCAGTAAGCCTGATTCTTAGAGTATGACTTAACTAAATCCTAAACTGCTTTTGAACCCAAGCAGCAAAACCAAAAGTAAAGAGTGTTTCCGTGGCTTGAAACGTCGAACTTCCTACCAGAAAATGTTCCCAAAAAAAAAGTGTGTAACTGTCCCCAAAAGCTTACTGTTACTGAAATTGGAAGGTCTGAATATGAGTCAGTACAGCGGTGGTGCCAAACAGTGTACAGAACAAAAGTCTTGGCAAGATTGAACATTTACATGAAGTGACAAGTTATTTGAGCTTATTTAAAGGATTGCTGGTTGATGTTGCCCAGGTTGTGATGTGAATTATAGCACTGGCTGTAAAGTATAAGGTCAGTGTGAAAAGAAGACAAAGGAATCTAGCTGTTGTTGCACAAGTAGGAAAACAGAAATCAGGAAAGCAAGAGTTATTCAGAGGTCAAGTTAAAGAAATTGTTAATGAGTTATTCCATCAAGGTTACAGAAAATAGCGGGCAACAGTTAGCATGGGAAGTGACAACAACACTGTAAAAGTCAGGGTGAAGACCATTACTGCCACCTGCAGGGTTGAAGCTGGTCTTGTCAATATAGTATCAGTGCATTTGGATCTAATCCTTCAAAATAAAATTCCATCAAAAACTTGAGTTGTCCTCTGCAAATACCCTTTTCAAAATTCACTTTTTGAAGTGCAAAAATGGCTCCCGTCTCCCCCAGAAGGTAAACAGAATTATCTACGTGTGCCAAGGCCCGATAAGGATCTCTGTTGCAGCCCCAAAACAAACACACCCAAGGTCAGCTGCCCTCAAAGATACCAATCACACTCTGACCTCTCGCAGGCAGGTCTTAGCTGGTGGCATGTGATAGAGACACCCCATATGTGAGCAGATGTGGCTGATTAAAGGCGAATACCTTCTTAGGGGACGAGCTGCTTCTTACAGGGCTGTCATTGAGGGGACACTGCTGTTTCATCCCTTTGTGCTGCCATCAAGAAACTGACTCACACAGGGAAAATAATCGGGCAGCTTGGGGGGTGGGGAGGTCAGAATGTTCATTTGGACCAAATGTCAGTGTGAAATATGTGCATATGTTCGCGAAATGAGTGCATACATCTGTGTGATGAATGGCTCGTTCTCAAAAACACTATTAAAATGACTTAATGTGTAAATCAGTGAACGAATGATAGACAATTGTGGAAAGGAGACTTCAGCCTGTATTACTTTACCATGAATGGATTATTTAAAGTTTCTGCTATTTGAAAATTGGTGTAGTTTCACTTTCATCAACCAGGCCCTACTAAGAAATGATGAGTTTTATACAAGCTACTTGCTGCAGCAGCTGCAGTCTTATGTAAAAGCCATGGTGTGTATGTATAGCAAGAAGGCATGAAACGTTGACAGAAATGCAAATAAAATGGGAAAGAAATGCAAATCCTAAACAATTTACTTCCCAGACTGGACTGTGTTTGCATGGCACTGTATTGTATGTATGCATGTATTTAATTTCTCTCTATGAAGACTATGTATTTTTTTCTTTTTTCTATTATTTTGCTACACTGTAGTGACTTATGTTTGTTGTTTGGATGCATACTCTGTAACACCATGTGCTGCAAAAGAACAAAATGTGTCATACTTGTTTCAAAACAAAAGCCAGAGGATATTTGTGTAATATAGCTGTAAATTACTCTTTTCTATATTTTCTAAGAAAACAAATATACTATAGAAAGATTTTTAATGACAAATTTTCTTAAAAAAACAAAAAAAACAAAAACAAAATAAAAACAAAAAAGGGGAAAAAATGTTGAACACAGTAGGCCAGTAATAAACAGTGGAATGTTACCAGTATACTAGATCGTATTTCTTGCAAACTGCAGTGTCAATGTTGATGATTCACGTTTTTATATGGGAAACTGTGGCCACCATTTATTGTTTATGTGTCTTGACTCCATTATAATCTTTACTTGGTACTCACATTTAAGGAAATCGAACCTTAAACAGCCCTTTGTCAGTCTTTTGAACAATCTATCAAGCTTTGTAATGATTACTTTGAACAGAAAACCTAGATTAGAAATTTACACAATATTGGGAATAATGTTGTGATGAACATCTATTATAGTTTGCTATGTGACAAGTCAAGCTTAGCAGCAAAAATATAAATATCTAGCTTAACTCTTCTGGAACTTTGGTCCTAAATATTAGTGTCCTCTTACTGTATGGAACCTGCCATCACTGCCTGACGAGCTGTTGTTTGCATCATATCCACATTCAACTCTTTTTGGCTTTTTTGTAATGACTTTAATACCTAGTGCCATCTGTTTCAGCTAAAGTCTGCTCAAAAGGGATACTAAAACATAAATAGAAATGAATCTTCTATGACAACATGTAGAGTCTTTCCAGTTGAATGCTGTATCTTAATAGTTTCATTTTTGAAGAAGGAAACCTGAGAGGAGCCCTGCGTTATTTTGATAATGTAAAAAATCCTTTGACAACCCCAAAGCAACAGTCTCTGATATCCTTACACTATCTGGGCACATTCTCAGCCCCATTTACGAAATGCAAAATAATGACCTGTAAATATTTAGGGCTGGGTTTGGGTGTTGTTTTAGCAAAATGCTGAATAGACCAAATTGAAAATATATATATATATAAATTAAATATATGCTAGATGAAAAAAAAAAAAAGCCAACCCCAGCCCTAATCATAAATGGGTCACAGGCTGACCACTTGGGGTTAGGTTCCATTTTAGTTGATGTTACAGTTCAAATAAATTTCCTTATTCTGGTATGAGAGCTTTATATGCCCAAAATAGGGTCTTGAAATATTTCTTTGCAAGCTCCTTTGACTATGATGACCTGAATGACTGAGAACCTTCACAGACATCTTGAAATATTCCATTTAAGGGGTAGATGTGAACCTAGGTATAATCTTACTTGTAAACAGATTGTCAACAGCTTTGTGGATGTAGAAGGTCAGTTATCAAAGGAACAACAACAAACTAAAAACTGTCTGATTCAAATTTTTGCTTGTTCCCTAACTCCCAGGCTTGGAGGACAAGTTGATGATGGCTTGAACCTCAAAGTGTTATTGTGTGGCTCATTCAAGTTGTTGATAGTTTCTGGACATTGGTGGCGCTCAGTGGCACAGAAGAAATAAATGAATTAGTGCTTGGATACAATATATGGATTACTTTTTATAATTTTGGTTTGCATTGAGTTTGATTAGAAAAGATACAGAACTTTGCTAGTCTTGGTCTTTTATTAATAAACTCACACAGGATATGCTCTTAAAGGTAGTGCACACTATGTGTTTATTCACGTTTTGATCTGAGCACATGTGCCTGCGCATATATAATTCATTTGTACTATTATTTAAAATACAGGAGTGTTGTGCATTTTCTAATATTCGCATCAGTGCTTTTCTATAAGCTTGTGCTATATGTGTGCTTTTGTCCATGTTGTCATTTACGTGATACTGTGACATTACAGGAAAATATCAATATGACAAATTAACCTCAAACACTTTATGTTAGAGGAATATGATGCACAAAAGCAATTCAAAAAGAAAAAAGTATTTGACCAAAATCTTTGATTATTTTAAGAGTCAGTATTTAGGCAGGTAGATGAGTCTACTGTAAGTCTCATGGAATCCCTCGACCATGCACCAGCACATTTTCAGTTTCTATAACCAGGGACAGCACAATATTTCCACAATACAGGGCAATAAAATTATGCAATCACCGCTTTGCTTGCTGAATAATCTACATGGAAAATCTGTTTCAACCACAGCCTCAGAGGAAAAAAATTCAAATTTTACTGCAAGTCATTGATCTAGTACATCAAGTAACTAAGTCACAAGAATAGGGTGTTGCTGGCCCCGTTCATCAAACCTGGAAATTACAAGTTTCATATTTTATGTTGAACTTCAACATTTTGCAGGAAATCAAATGAAAGTGAGGTTATTTGGGTAAATTGGGGCCCCTTAAGGTTTTTTTTGGGAAGTCTCTCTCTCTCTCTCTCTCTCTCTCTCTCTCTCTCTATCTATCTATCTATCTATCTATCTATCTATCTATCTATTAGAAAGCTATTTTTTGCTACTGTTTCTCCGTCCATATCCATACAGTGCTGTCAGCTGAGGGTGTATAACTTGCTTAAAATGTCTAGAACAAGGACCAATATTGAGTAGAATAATGCATACGTTTGGCGGATTGTTAGAGTTAATATAAATGTGTAAGCAGAGGATTCTGGTTAGTTTTTACCAAAGTCTAAGCCTACTGTGTCTTAAAAGATGACACCACTTAGATTAAGAAGGCATATATTCTTTAGATTGATGTGGGCTATGCAGTCATGATGTTAGCAGAATCAGATCTTCTTCAAATCAAAGACTATTTTAGATTTTTTTTTGTGTGCAGCTAGATCTACATTAAACTACTGTGTAAGACTTGCAGTAACAAACTAACTGCTTAAACAAAACTCTGTGAGTCACAATAACAGAATAAATGTAAAAACTAAAAGCTAAAAAAGTAGCTTATGAACAATTTTTCAAGTTATTAAACTGGTAACTTCAGCTATACAGAAAGCTTTGATCAGGAAACATTAGCTTGACTAATTTGTAAGAAGAAGAATGTGTTATTTGGCTTTAGAAATACGCATAGTATGTAAGGTTACATAATAATATCATGGTTTCCTTATCATCAGTGATGGCTTTCAATTTATGCTATCAGAGTATGATGTTTTTTCTTAAACTGGGTGGTGTTCTCTTTTAAGTGTTGTTAAGCACCTGTTAGTGTTGTAAATCTGTGCTTTTTACATAGGGGGTGTCATTGCCTTACATATATTTTCCAATATTCGAGTGCAGATGTTGATATTGTTAATGTGGAGTATTTTTCTTAGATTGTGACTGCATTTAATACATCTTTAGAACCAGCTGTAGTAAAGATACACTGTGATGAGATGGCAATGCTGTCAAGTGGATTTTAAAGTGCTTTTCGTTCTTATTGACCTTTTATACATTGGACATACAACAATCAAAGTAAGAGACAAAAATACACGTTTGTGCCCAAAAAGGCTGTAAGAATAGGCACAATCCCCTTGCCGCCACCTGGAGTCACTGCTAAACATTTTCTATTTTATGTAAATGCTAACATCACCCAGATATTAGATCAGTGTACAGCTCTGCATGGCTTTACATTTTGGGTGCATTCCTTAAAAAAGACCAGGAAGTTACAAGCTCTAGCTTTATGTTGCTTGTTTTTCTTGTTGCCTTGCTAGGTGTTGGCAGAGCTTTAATTCTCTTTTGCTAATTTATGCCTCAACAGAGAAAGAAATCAAGGGAGGAAAAGAGCAGAAGCAGGAATGAGGAAAATGTTTGAGGGAGGAAGAGGTAGAGAAAAAAAACGGATTCAGGCAAAACAGGAGGTAAGCTCTTATTTGAATTTGAGAAGATTTGAGCAGCAGGAATGATGGGAAGGTTTCCAGTGAAGGGAAATGTTATATGAATCCAGGGTGATTGCAGTGCTTTGAAAAATGTTCCCTTTGAGTGCTTTGCTGGTGTAATGAGACTTACCGGCTTAGTTTACTCACAGAGCTTCAAAAGTTCCTGCCTGCGGTGACAAATGCAGATTTTGCTTGCTTCTGAGGAAACTGATTCTATCTTGCGAACACAGATCTTTGTAAGTACTCTTTCCTGAGAAGAAAATGGTATTACAACAAGGCGTCAGAATAGTCACATAAATAGTGGTCCATTTCATCGAAAGGAGAAAAGTTATGCTGGGACAAAGCACTCAGGTGACTTAAATCTCTGAACTTGCAACCAAAAACTTTATGTTCACTCTCAGATGGCATGACACTAAATAATTTATTAATTTTATCTCAGAATTAGATTGGGGTTTAACTTCAGTGACATGGTGGTGAAGCAAGAAGGTTTAGGATTCAAACCCATTGGCCAACCTGGGATTTTTTTCATGTTCTCTGTGTTTTGTGCAGGCTCTCTGTTCCTTCGCACTCCCCACAATTTTTGTGTTTTAGATTAACTTTTGAATGGTTCTTCTCTGTGTTGGCTGTACTCAGTCCCTTGATACAAAATTAAGGGTAGTTAAACTATCAAAGAGCTGCAAGGAATTATCTTTTCATTCAGTGATTTGAAGCACCACTTTGGGCCAAACAGAAATACCTTAGCTATCGAATAGATTACTAATGTTGTGTTGAAGCAGTCCAGTTCCATAAAGGATGTACCCTACTGACGTGAGTGGCTCTCTAGCACCGGTCATCAAAGGATCATGCCACCAGGTCTTCAGTCATAAGACTCATATCATTTCCAGTAAAACTATATTAATGACTTTAGGTGATCAACAAATGTTTCAGTACATATGTGTATTATCATCTCTCAAACTCCACACTAGATGGTTAGATAGCTTTAGATAATTAGCCATTACCACTGTTCACGTGCTGTCACGCTCATATTAGCAAAACACCATTGTGTTGCTGCCTGATGAATCTAGTAGCAGAATTTTCTTGTTTATTTTGCTCTGTGGACCTAACCACCACTGGAGCCACTGAGGGTATAGGACCCCAGGAAACCTCAATTCATTAACATCTTTCAGTAGATTGAATAGTAATTTGTTAACACTGTGATGTCTAAGTTAGTCATCAGTGGTAACCCTAAGCCAGTCTTGGCAGTCAGAAGACAAAGAATGTAATAATTAGTTCATCAAAAGTTATTTATACTAATTAAGTATTACATTAAGTAAGACAGTTAGAGCTGTCATTGATGATGACTTAGACCTCACAGGTGGTTATTTTACAAACTCTACCAAAAATAGATTGGATCTTTGCAAAGATTTTTTTTTTTTTGCATTGGGATGTGAGGCTTCAGTTAGAGGGACAGTTTTTCTTCTAAATGTCTGTTATATACAGGCTGAAGAGAAAGTCTAGGCCTTATGTCAATTGATACTGGGGTTTTTACTGTATACGGCAACATCACAGTAACATTTTGTAATCCCCTCCCATTTTACTTCCTGAGCTGACAGAGGCTGGCAGTAGGAGTGGCTGCTGTCGTGTTGTGCTCCATTGCAGCGTTGTTGCGCCAAGCTGCCTTGGCTGGGGTTATTTTTGGCTCACACCTAGTTTTAATCCTGTCGTGATTCTCCTACGGATTATTCCTGCTTCCTCTCCCCTCCACACCTTCTCCCGCTTCCACTTTCACCCCACCTCCTCTCTTTCTCACCTCCTCTTCTCCCTCTCTCTTTTGCACTTTCTCACCCTCTCCTCCTGTGTGTCTTCTTTTAACACCACCACCAGTCTTCCTCTGCATGTATCTGTGTCATCATTAATATAATATCTTCAGCCATACTGTTGACCAGTCACGTCAATGATTAATTCATTCATTAGGTTTTATACATGCTGTTGTCCCTATACACTCCAAATATACAAAGAAAAAACATTATCAGTAATCCTGTTAACACCACTGTTTGCTGTGTAGTGTGTCTCCTTTCTCCTATAGATAAATATATGTTTGACACAACAGAGACAGAAAGTCTGCTGGAGTAAGTGACTGCACTGTGAAATGAATTAGTGTTTTGGTGTGTTTGGGGTTGGCTGCAGTTTGTGACTATCACTGTGCAAAGTTGTTAACAACTGACAGACTGATAAAAGTGTTTCTCTTGTAGAAAAAGACTGTGAGGTTTTTTGTGGGGGGTTTTTTAAACATAAATGAATGCTCCTTGAAACGTCCTGTTATGTTACCCAAGCATTAGTGCCTATGGAACCTGGTCTTTGGCGCTGCTGACACACACCAACAGAGGAAGTCAAAGCTGTTTTAACCCTCCATGATGACTGCAATCCCAAAGAGTTTTGGGGAAAGTTTTTGGCCTTGGTTTTTACTCTTGAGCTCTGCTAGAATAGATTTGCACAATTCACAGTTCAAAATAATTATGCTATAATCTGTCCTCAGTTCATCCTCTGTACAAGATAACTTAATTATTTACCTTAATCTGATTGGAGTTTTGAAACACATGTATGTAGGGCTTCTGTCCTCATGCCTCAGATGACCATGTGAACAAATTATCTCTGTTTGACAGCTAAGTATTTAGATAAGTCTGGGTTTTTGGTTCAGGCTGATATTCTCACACCGACCATGTCTTTAATGCGCATGTGACAGAAAAATAAAGATAAAGCATAATAGGGCCACTCTAAAAAAGCAGCACACATTATGAATCAGGTGCTATAGGCAAGGTGTTTGGATAAAATAACTGTGTTTCTGTTTAAAAACTTGTTTTGCTTGGTTACTCTTTAGCATGAAAGAGGGAATTACAAAGGAAATATCTGCTTTCAAAAATCTGGCTGACTTAGTTTTGATAGACCGGTTGTTGGAGTGGCTGGTAGGTAAATTCGGAGGTCTGCTATATACAGAGTTTTGAGCTGAACCAATACTATCACACATCATTTCAAAATGAATCTAAAATTTTGCCTAGGACATTTAGAAAGGAGTCTCAGTGACCTTTGCACCCATGTTTTGAGTCTCTGATAGAAGTAAATGTTCTTTGAACACATTATCCAGTAAGCATTAAACAATGTACATTATATCAGCTTGCGTGTTTTCCGTGACTTGTGTGACTTAAATGCAGCTTACCTCTCAGATGTGAAATAACACAAACCTTCCCGGCAGCAGAAAAAGGAACAAGTAGTCTTCCATAAATGCAGACATCTAGGTGTTCCGCTGTTGACAAAACTCTAGTTAGCCATGTCAGCTGTGACTAAAAATAGACAGACAAACTTTTAATTTTTTAAAACTTTTTTGTGGTATGTCAAAATGATATTACCTGGGCCAAAATATTATCCTGAATCCTTTTCCAAAAGGCTTTTACACTAACTGATGGAGCGCACACACCACATTTGCAGCCCAGCTCTGGCACTGACAGCCGATTTTAAAATGCTCTGGACATGAACAGAAGGATTTTGGATGGACTTTGAGCCCAGGCTTGCATACTGTACACGTGTCTCTTGTAGCTGAGGAGCTGAACAACACTGATCAGACCAGCTAAAACTACAACCGTTAGTAAGAGGACAATGTACGGGAATGTCTCAGTTTCAATTTATTAGAAGACATATGCTTTTGAATGCTCTGAATATTTTAAATGTAAACTCCTTTTCTACTGCCTGCTGTTGACGCTATAAATAGTATGCATATGATGAACTTTTTTTACTTGACAAAAAAGATTTTCATTAAAAAAGCTTTTGTCTATGAGTAGCCTGCGTCTTTTTTGTTGTCTGCATTATTTTTAAAGTCAAGGTCAGAAAAAAATGTCATACTTTAGTGTTTTAGTGGTTTATTCTTATTCTTATTCTTATTCTTCTATGCTTAATTGTTAGAGAAGTCCAGTATTTTTATGTTTATTCTTTTTTAATATGATACAAAATGGAGAACTCATTTTGCTAATAATGTAAAAATATATATATATTTTTATTAGTTAGCCATAACATTATAATTGTAGTCAGATTTTTCAGTCTTTGATGACACACTTAACTGCAACATCGGTCAGTGAGTAAATGTTATAGATAATTCGATTAAAAAATAGATAGTAATAGGTGATTAATAAAAAAAAAACATGCTGCTTAAATGGGGAGGCTGGTATCTTCCTGTGTGTCACAGCGGTGGAACGGACTCAGGCACAGACTGAGAAAGCAGGGTTCAAACAGTTCTTTATCAATCACACTGGTGCACTATATACACGTGAAGGGGGGAGGGGGGGGCACAAGGGTCCCGGGGTTCAACAAGTTGGGGAAACACACGCCTTCGTACTCGCTCCGCTTCTTGTCCAAACAATCTCCACACAAGCAGCTCCACTCTCACTCACGGGGTCCAGGGGTCACAAAGAGGGTAGGTAAACCAGATAAACCTATTTACAGAGACGAGGATTAATCCGAGGCAAGCACGGGAACAACGGAATCGTTATAGAGCCAGGCAGTACTAACGAGAGTTACTCAATGTTCCAGCGACGAGTAGCTCAGAGCCCCGGCCTTAAGAACAGCCAGCGATCAACTGCAAATCACCGGTGATCAGCTGCAGGTGCATAGGCCAAGGGCGGGAGCCCAATCTGAGCTCCGCCCAGGCCAGGGGTTGGCAACCTGCGGATTTGCGGCTTCCAGTGTTTTCTTTTGCATGGAAACCAGGTCCAAATGGCTCTTTGGTTCTTAAAGGTTGCTGACCCCTGGCCTAGGCAGACAGGCAAGAGAGAGAGAGCAAGGCGAGGAGAGCAGAGAGAGCAAAACAACAAACACTTGTGGCCACACTGAGCTGGCTGGGGAGGCACAGGGACCATGACACTGTGTGTTTTCGGGTTTTATGTGTGAACACTGTTGCTTGACTAATCTGTCTTTATTAGCAAGATAGGTCCTGAGTGGCTGGTGTCCTTTTGCCCTTTAGCTCAGTGTTGCAGTCTCAGAAGCAGAATAAACACCCCTGACAGCACTTCACAAAGAAACTGAGTTGAATTAGAAAGGTGAGTCAAAGTCAAACATGCACCAGCGGCCCTCGCCTACAGAAAAGATACTGGCCTGAACAAATTAGTCAGAAACAGGCTGTGTGCTGTGGGATAGCAGCGGTGGGGGGTGGTGAGGTGGGCTGGGGGGACAAACAGCAAAAGATACTTGGAAAGGAAAAGATAATATAAGCTTTTTTAAAAAGTATTTCGCTAAAAAAAGGACTGGCAGCAAAGACCACTTAAATAAATGAACCAAATTCCCCAGTGTGCCTTTAAGGGGGCAGGATGCCAAGCCTATTGTTACTGCTTTAATGCCGTTTATTGATTAGGTGCATATTTACATCAAGGTGAACTCTCTGAGAGATTACAAGCTGCTCTAAAGTGGACCTTTCATTCAGTGTCTTTCTTCTCTTTTTTGGTGGCAGTAAGAGGTTTCTGATGTCATGACAGGAAACTCTGAGATAATGAATAATACAGGTAAGCATGGGGGATGTGAAAGGTTTGGAAGCAGATGTGGCACAATTAGAGCAGAATATCGAGGGGACAAGAGAGTAATTGTAACTGTAAATGGCTACTCTGGAGACACATAACCTCAGTAGAGTTTTCTCTCTGTGTCTTCTTTGAGCAAAATGCTGATGCAGCAAGGCTCTGCCCTGCACAGATTTGCCCTGATGCTAACTGCCACACTGAGAAAGACACTCTGGTACATCTTTTCTTTGCTGCTACAATCCCGAAGGCTCAGAAACATTGCAGTCAACACTCATTGAGAAACACGCTCTGAACAAATAAAGCCACACTGACAGATATTCGGTCAAGTGCAAAAAATTGCAACGCCCGTCTTTGCATATTTCTCTCTGCTGGAGGGAGCATTGCTGTGACTTTGCAGCAAGGCTTGCTTGCTCGCTCAGGTGATGCTTCACAAGATCATTGCTTTCTCTTTGCCAGGTCCCTAATCGGGTTCTCTATAGTCTGTCACATTGTATACAAACAGCAAGGCTGCAGGTGATACAGGAGCGATACAGAGATGCCACTAGTAAAACCACAGGAATTACCCGGTACAAAAACAGGATGTTGTAGCATTAGGGGACATGTGGATATACATCTGCAGGTTCGACTCACTCTGGCAAATTTCTTTTTATTGTCCCATAAGAAATATTTATGAACTTTTTAACCCTCTGAGGTCTGAATCATTACCAGCGATGGCTCCAACACAAAACCTAGTGTTGCCATTTTTGTTGTTGCACTTAACCATCTTAGATAGTTAAGTGCATGCTGATGCTTTGTGTTACAATAATTGTGAGGTCTGCATTTATTTGAGTGCTCATTAAAGTCTGGCAAAAAACACGAACCTTCTTAACACATTGTTTGCACAGGGGAGAAGCAGATCTGCACAAATACTTGGTAATGTCAGTGCCAACACTCCAGACTCAAGACATCTTGAATCTATACATGTCTGTGAGTGTGTCTCCTTTGCCTGTCTCCACAGTCATTCATCCAATGGACTTTAGTCTGCAGCTGTACTGCCCAAGTAAGTGCACTTTCATCCTGAAATGATGTCTGTTTGCATAACTCTGTGGCTGTGCATACAGAGAGACTGAGAATTCAACCATAAAGGAGGCTGCAGGGGATTCCATGCAGAATTGACTCTACTGGTTCAGTGGAGATGTAGCTGATGGATGTTTTTGACTCATGATTGTGTCAGTTTTCTGTGTAATTAGTACTAAATTAAATTTTAATTAATCACAACCACCTAACTGGGCAATAATTGGTTTTCACATGAAAACAGTGGGCCAGTTAAAATAAAATATTACTGTGTTTATATAAATTACACTGAAGGTACGTTGTCTTGCACAACGTGCTTTCCCTCTCCTAATATCTCTCTCTCTTTTTTTAGCTTCTAAGCTTATTTCTTTCCCAAAAAGGCAAAGTAACGAATAAACTGAAAGGGAAAAAAACATAAAAGTCCATCTTAGGTGTCAGATGTCACAGCCCCACAGTTTCTGCTTGCAGACAAAGAGGATGAACAACTCCAGGTTCAAACAACATTCTATTGATCAGTGATTCATCTTTAACACAGAGCAGTGTGGAATCCTTCATAGGCTTTTCTGCAATACATGTCTCTAGCAGGAGTACATTATATTATCCACTACTCTGTATCTGCATCTTTAGAACCAACTGGCAGGTTGTCTCTATATCTTGTATGCTGGACAGTTCCCACAGGACACAGCTGATAGGAAGCTTGATAAGATACAAAAATGTTATGATAAATTCATCAACCGTGAAAGCAAAGAAATTAAAGACTGCCATCTGGTGGTGAGGATGAAAATTAACCTGGGGTAAAAGGTTTAAAGCAATAATGAACATTTGCTTCGTTGGACAGCTAGGCTGCTTTCCACATGTTCAAATTTGTCTTTAGGTTAAAACTGTATAAATAGCTGCTTCTGGATTCTTCCTGATTTAAACAGAACCGGTATCAAGAGGGAGCCCCACTGAAAGAAATCACAGGAAAATGTATTTTTTTTCTTTTTTTAGAAATGAGGATATATTTGAACTTTTTCTCCCACCAAGTCTCTTATGTTAATTTGACCATTATATTGATCAAAATTTCAATTTAGCTTTACCCATGGGTCCAGACTTTGCATAAAGAGGTGGGTGTCAGGATAACCCTACTCTGAAACTTATCATTAGCATGTTAACTCTATGATGTGATGACCCAGCCCTATGGAATCATGTTAACAATGCATTAAAATTTAGTTTAAGGTCCTCAATGAGAAATTAGTAATTTATTGGTTTAAAATAAAAAAAACCTTATAAGTATGATTCGAGTGTGTGTGTGTACTGTCAACATATAGAAATAACTGTATAAAGATTTAAATATCATGTCACATTTGATCTCTGACCTCTCCTCCATTTATCCTTTAAGCTCAGGTCCTCTACCAGAGGCCTAGGAGCTTGAGGGTCCTGTGCAGTATCTTTGCTGTTCCTAGGGCCGCACTGTTCTGGCCAGAGATGTTGGAATGTTTCCTGGGATCTGCTGAAGCCACTTGTCTATATATGCCTTTAGCTTGGGGGTCACTGCACAGAGTGCCCCTCCACATCTTCTCGAGTTCTTCTCCCGCTCGTGTTCGTTCTTCCTGATGTTACTGTCACTCAGTATAGCTACATCTGTCACTACGGCCGCCTTCCTCTGCTTGTCAATTCCTCTACTTGTTCGTTAGCCATCACCATTTTGTCCATCTGTATCTGGAAGTCTCACAGGATCTTAGCTCGGTCATTCTCGACCACCCTAGGGGACGTCTCACATTGTGACCTCAGGATCCTGTATACTTAATGAGAAGGTGTGTCCAAATTTTTGGCTGGTATATAATCACCTTTTATGACTAATCACTGACTTTCCATCCATCCATCCATCCATTTTCTTCTTCCCCGCTTATCCGGGGTCGGTTCGCGGGGGCAGCAGCCCAAGCAGAGAAGCCCAGATCTCCTCTCCCCAGCCACCTCCTCCAGCTTATCCGGGGGAACACCAAGACATTCCCAGGCCAGCCGAGAGATATAATCTCTCCAGCAGGTCCTGGGTCTGCCCCGAGGTCTCCTCCCGGTGGAACATGCCCGGAAAACCTCGCCCAGGAGGTGCCCAGGGGGCATGCTTGTCAGATGCTCAAACCACCTCAACTGGCTCTACACTGAGCCCCTCCCGA